ATATTGGGGATCTCCTAATGCCCCACCCATGTATGTACCTATATGGTTTCTCCCACACATTGCCATTTCTGTGCCCATTCTTTCAGCTCCTGAATTATAGCAGGAAAGAAGAAGACTGGTGAGATTTGTGTTTTAAAGATTAATTGGGGGAGTGTGGACTGTAGGAAAAAAGAAGTAGGTAGCACATTGTGAACACATCCAGTACAAGCAAGCTGTTCTTCCACAAGCCTCTTAGTGACAATAAGGGCAAGGGTGGAACTACCCATAATACATACACCCTTATGTATACATGCTCTTGTTGGGTGTTGATGGTGCACACCTTTAATCCCAGCACTCCAGAGGCAGAGACAAGCAAATCTCTGTGAGTTTGAGGCCAGCCTGGTTAACTCCAGAGTGAGTTCCAGGACAGCCAAGGCTACACAGAGAAACCTTGTCTTGAAAAAACAAAAAAGAAGAGAAATGGTAGTTTAGTGTGAAGATGCTATCTTGCACTACCTTACAGCAATTGCAGTTAGAAGGTTTGTGATTCCCTTCCCTTGGCACCTAACTCACAAAGACTAACAGCTACACTTCTTGAGAATTTTAATAAATGTTTGCAAATTCTGCTTCTGCATAAATACAAAGTTTCCTAGTAGCTCAGCCAATTTCACTCAAGCCCAGATTTAATTCAAGCGAGTGTAGCTTTTATGCTGATGAGTTGCTACTCTCTCCTATGTGGCCATCATAGCCTCCTATAGAAGTGACTATGATGAGAGTCACTGCTTCCTTCTGAAAGCTCCAGACTATTCCGTCCTGTCAGTGCAAAGTAGATACACACTTGAGACCAGTGTAAGTTTGTGAAAGAAGCTAGGCAGGTGGGTCCCCAACACAGAGATCAAAGTAGTTTTCATGGTGGTGCCTTTGAGACTTCCTACAAATGTGGGTACCTGACTAAGCTAAACCCCCTACTTTGCTAGCTATATAGTGGGAGAATGTAGAAACAAAACTGCTTCCATTTATATCTGGCCTTTATTAGCCTAAATAAAACGGGTTTTCGGGTGCATGTTTTCACAAGTCTTGTTTTGTTCAATGTTTGGCTGGAGTAAGCTCATCGCAGAAATGCTGGGAGTGAACTGGCATTTCCATCAGCCCATGGTGAAGTTTGTCTCTTTTCAGGCAGCCATTTGGCAGTTCCCCCGATGACCTGCTGTGTCCACATCCTGCAGCAGAGTCTCCAAGCGATGAGGGCGCTCTTCTAGACCAGCTGTATCTGGCCTTACGGAACTTCGATGGCCTTGAGGAGATTGATCGAGCTCTGGGGATCCCAGAACTGGTCAGCCAGGTAGGCCAGAGCACTGCAGGAGCCACAGGCTCCATAAGCAGGAGGTGTCTGCTCCAGCAGTCTACTCTGGGGTGCTTTTCACCTAATAGTAGGCAGACCTGCCCCCCACCTCCTCCTCCTCCTCCTCCTGCTCCTGCTCCTCCACTACTTCCACATAAACCGTTGCCCAAGAAGCAAGTACCTGGGAATGACAGACTTGAATTACAGCAGAAAGGCATAAGCCAAAACCCAACTGGCCAATTCCCTCGTTGCTGATGGGCAGATGAAGAAAAGAGGTCAAAGAAACCACAAGTCACAAGTTCCTGGTGGCCTTTGCCCTTGCCCCTAGAAGGGGAGACAGTCTGAGCACAGGCTTCTGTCCTACCCATGCCTGTGCATTAGGGCAGGCGGCACCACTTGGAAAGGACTGTTTCATACATATGTAGCAGAAGTCATTGTAGGTGTGGCTGCAGCTGAAACACTTTGGCTCTTATGTGGGTGCCACCCATAATAATTTTAGGAATATTTAAACAAATAGGAATATTAAAAATGTCAATCACTGCCAGGCGGTAGTGGCACATGCCTTTAATCCCAGCACTCGGGAGGCAGAGGCAGGTGGATCTCTTTGAGTTCGAGACCAGCCTGATCTATAAGAGCTAGTTCCCTCGAAAACCAAAAAAAAACAAAAACAAGTCAGTCACCTCAGTGAGTCTAGTTAGCACTCTTCTTCCCACTTAGTTTACTTGAGGAGGTAACAGACTTGTAATTGTTTGTATTTCTTTGATTTGAGCTTGCCAGGGAGGAAGCACTCTCCTGGAGGCACTAAGACAGTGTGTCTGAAACTGCTCCCCGTCCCCCACTGGCAGCTGCTTCCCTGGGAAGCAGCCTCCTGGTTTGCTGAAGAAAGAGGGACCTAGAAAAGTCCTCACGCCCTTATCGCTGTCTTCCTTTCCATCAGCATCAACTCGTCTTTCTTTTTGTCACAAGTATCTTCCAAGGCCAGTGTCCTTGGACCTCCAGCATGTCACTACATCTGTGAGGAAGGTGACATCCATGAAGCATTAAAAATAATCTTGTCATAATTAACTCCCACAGTTTAGCAGACACAAGTAGGAGTTCGGACTTGTCAATTCATACTGAAAATAGTGCAATGGAAAGAAATGCTGCAGGTTACACGGTACACCCTGAATGAGGCCAGAAAGGAAATGGGGTAACTATTTCCTGTGGAACTGTTGGCTTCACCTTAGCATCAGCTAGAACTTAGCTCCTCAGTGATTATCACTGAGTCTATCCAGGTGACATTTTTAAATGTCCTTGGAGTTTTTGAGTGACCCGTAACACTTTGGTGGGTTTCCAAGGGTTTTTGGGGGGTTTTTTTGGGTTTTCGAGACAGGGTTTCTCTGTGTAGCTTTGGAGCCTATCCTGGCACTCGCTCTGGAGACCAGGCTGGCCTCGAACTCACAGAGATCTGCTTGCCTCTGCCTCCCGAGTGCTGGGATTAAAGGCGTGCGCCACCAACACCCGGCGGTTTTTTTTGTTTTTTAACAGAGTATCTCATCTATAACCCAGCCTAGCCTTAGATTTACGGCAGTTCACCTGCCTTGGCCTCCAAAAAAATTGTAATGCCTTTTTAAATTAAAGCCAGTGTCAAGTCCTGTCTCCAAAAAAATTGTAATGCCTTTTTAAATTAAAGCCAGTGTCAAGTCACCATGTCTTTACCCTCCTTTTTAGTTTGTGCTGTCTCTAACATCTCCTCAGTTGTGCTAACTGAACTGCAGAAGGCATGTTTAGGTAGAATGGAGGAGGAGGGTGGGCATGTGTGGAGCCACCCCCAAAACATAATAGGCTATTACCCCACTGACGTCTCAAGTCCCACATCACAATGTGGACTGCAACCTATCATGTCTTAGCTAGAAAGACTTCCTGAAGTCAGAGTAAGGACAATGGTAGCTGGTTCCCTAACACTGCTAATGCTAGCTTGGCCAATCATTGCATTAAGATGATTGATAGAGGTTTGTGTGCTCAGTCAAAAGAGATAAAACCTGCCGATGTCTGCTCATCCCATGTTGGGTAGAGCATTATATCGCCATATCCCCCTTTTCCCACCCCCTTGAAAGAAGTGCTGTGGAGAGGTGGCCTTCACCCTTGCTTCTTCTCTTGGGTAATTGGATCTATTAAGCAAAGAGGCATTGTGTCAAATAAAAAGGGAAAGTAGACCAAGCTAAAAATACCTTGAAATAATTGGTACAGTATTTTTAAAGCATCAAATATGAGAGGAAGAGAAAGCTGCCTCCTATTTTTTTTAGTATAATCTCTTTAGTGGCTTTATTTATGGGCTCATTTGGGGTTTCTTTTCAGAGCCAAGCTGTAGATCCAGAACAGTTCTCAAGTCAAGAGGCTAACATGATGCTGGAGCAGAAGGCCCCTGTTTTCCCACAGCAGTATGCATCTCAGGCACAAATGGCCCAGGGTAACTATAATCCCATGCAAGATCCAAACTTTCATACCATGGGACAGCGGCCTAATTACACCACACTCCGTATGCAGCCCCGACCAGGCCTCAGGCCCACGGGCCTTGTGCAAAACCAGCCAAACCAACTGAGGCTTCAACTTCAGCATCGCCTCCAAGCACAGCAGGTTGGTTTTTTTCATGGAACCTTCAAAGCTGGGGGCTTGGGAAGATTAATGGGGGTTGGTATAGCAGTGAAGTATTAGAATTGGACTGGGGACTTTGTTAATTGGAAAAGGTGATTTGAAGTAAATATTTCCTGTTTTATAAAATGTGTTGAGCTGGGATAACCCTCTAATCCCAGCACTTGGGAGGCAGAGGCAGGTAGATCTCTGTGATTTTGAGGCCAGTCTGGTCTACATAGCGAGTTTCAGGTCTGCTGGAGCTACATAGAGAAAGAGAGACCCTGTCTCAAAAAGTATAGAATTGTAGGTCAGCTAGGGCTACACAGAAAGACCCTGTCTTGACTCATTCCCCTCCTAAAAAAGTTTTGGTTCCTACTTGTTTATATTTAGAATCGCCAGCCACTTATGAATCAAATCAGCAATGTGTCAAATGTGAACTTGACGCTGAGGCCTGGAGTACCAACACAGGTGAGGAGCCCTGAAGCTGTCTGTGTCCACTATGTCCCTTCAGCACCTCCTGTCATCCTTCCTCTTGCTTCTGCACACCCTGGACCTATCTAGCCTATCTTCTGAGTCCCTGCTTTAGTTCTCAGTGCCATTGTTATTGCCAGGGTCAGTTTATTCTTATCGTACACAAGAGTGATGTTACAGAAAGTCTTGACCAATTCTGATTCAAGTACCAGCTGATGTTCCCAAGAACACAGGCTTAGAGTCACAAGCCTTTGGTCACATCTTGTTCTCAGCACATAACCTTGTTTTTGTGGGAGTTTCTGTTTGCAGACATTTTCCATGTGTGTAATTTACTTGTGAACATAAATCTTGGTCAGTAGACTGTCTCAGAGCCAAACAAACCTCACCTAACACATGCATTTTCTCCATAAGCACACCTGCCTCTTACACTTGAGTACACTAGACAGTGCTGCACCAGCAGAAAGCATATTAGGTTCTATTGGGCCATATAAGAAACCTCTGGGGCTGGAGAGATGGCTCAGTGGTTGTTAAGAGTATTGACTGCTCTTCTAGAGGACCTGGGTTAAATTCCCAGAACCCACATGGCAGCTCACAATTATCTATAATTCCAGTTCCAGGGGACCAGACACTGGTGGCAAAACACCAATGTACATAAAATAAAAATAAATTTAAAAAAAAATCGAGGCCAGCCTGGTCTCCAGAGCGAGTGCCAGGATAGGCTCCAAAGCTACACAGAGAAACCCTGTCTCAAAAACCCAAAAAAAAAAAAAAAATTATAGGAGACAGAAGATAAAAAAAAGAAACCTCTGTACCGTTATGAGCCCATCACATGCTCCCCTTGGCTGGAAATGTGCATACTGAGCATCTGAAATCCTTTACTACTATACTCAGGTTCATAATTGGCCATGACAGTGCTGTGAATGTTAATGTGGGAATTACAAATAAACTTCAAAGTTGGCAAACTCACAAATGGCCAGGATGTGTCTTACACAACAGTGTACAGCCTCATATTGTCTCCTGAGAGCAAGCCCAGGGTCCCAGCTCTGCATCCATATCACTTAGCTACCCTGAGTAAAGAACATTCTGAGACCAGGTGCTTTGTGGGGGTCTGACCACACACCAGGGCCATGAAAGAACATTCCTCTACTGGGAAGGGACTTCCTCTTTGACTAAATGGGAGCAGGCAGAGTGTATACCTGTGTCTCCAGCCAAATCAGCCCTGGTGATCAGTGAAGTAAGAGAAGTCACTGCCAGATCACCCTCACCTCCATCCTTCTTGCAGTGCACCAGGTCTCCTTTAGCAGGAATGTGGTTTCTTGTTAGATTGGAATATTCCTTAAGAGAAACTAAACTGCTATCCTCGAGTGATGTCTTCTGCTGGGCATGGTGGCCCATGCCCTAATCCCAGCACTCAGCAGGCTGAAGCAAGAGAATAAGAGTTGATGCTCAATTTGAGCTACACACAACTTGGAGAGATGGCTCCTCTTCTAAAGTGGGTCAGAGTCATCTGTAAACTCTATTCCCTGGTGACTGGACCCCCTCCTCTGGCCTCCATGAGCACTGCACACACATGCTGCATAACACATGAAAATAAACACAAAGAGCCTTCCTGTAGGAAGCCTGTGCTCTTTGAAGCCCTTCAGATGACTGTATTCTCACAAACTGAGTTAGCTAACAGCACAGGGTTATAGAACCGTCACAGGTTGAACTTAGAAACTCACATGCTCACTCACTAGGTGTTCCAGTCTGAGTACTTTTCTTCATGTAATTTTATTTTCAAATGATCTTACATAGAGCATGCCATTGGTATCTGTTAACCTATCTACCCTTGGTTTTCTTTCATGGGTGCCCTCCATCTCAGGCTCCTATTAATGCACAGATGCTGGCCCAGAGGCAGAGGGAAATCCTCAACCAGCACCTTCGGCAGAGACAAATGCATCAGCAACAGCAGGTGCAGCAGCGAACTTTGATGATGAGAGGACAAGGGTTGAATATGACCCCAAGCATGGTGGCTCCTAGTGGTTTACCAGCAGCCATGAGCAATCCCCGGATTCCCCAGGCCAATGCCCAGCAGTTTCCATTTCCACCAAACTACGGTACTGGACTTATCCCCACCACCTTTCCTCTGCCCTTTCTCCCAGTGCCTCTCAGTCCTGGGTCACAGCTCCTCTCACTGCTCTTTGCATGTCTCTCAGATGAATCTGAGTAACCAGAGAATACTAGGAAACCTGGGAGGACACGTGGGGCCTGGCAGAAGTCCCCAAGTCCAGCACAGGGCCATGCTGTCTCTTAGCCCTGGTTCCTTCTTTTCTCTGGGTGCAGGTCTTACTTTAAGAATGACCAAAGTTAAGTGTGTTTGTGTCTCTGTGTGTGAACGTGCATGAGTGTCTAATGAATATAATACGCACACATGCACAAATATTGCTACTTATATTTAAATGTCTTGGAGACTGACACAAATCAATAGCTAGATACAAAATGTCAGAAGACAAAAATCAATTTAAATATTACAGATACTGTACAGCTTTTGAAAAATACTTTGTTATTGACAGCACTTATGAAAGAAGAAAAGAAAACCTTTAACGATTATACCAAATCTTTACTGAATAGGTAATTCTTGAAGTGTTGCATCAGAACCGCAATGGGAGACCTCTTTACTTCATATTGATTTATTCTTTAATGTCGGTCTAAGAGATGAGATAACAAGGATAATGTCAAGGAAATTTAATAATAACAAGGAAAATTAATATTTATGTGTGTCACATTCAATTAATAGTGGGATTATTAATAAATATCAGTGCTTACATGGACATTAAATGTTCCAAATGGTTCCCCTTTACCCTGTCTGAGTGATCTATAAGTAATGATAAAAGTCTTTGAGTTCAGGGCTAGCCTGGTCTATAGAGTGAGTTCCAGGACCAGGACTATACAAAGAAACCCTGTCTCAAAAAAAACCACAAAAAACACAAAAACAAAGGTAGTGTATTGATATGATAGAAACTTTTCTTTTGTGGCTTCTTTAAGTGCTGCACAAATATTAAGGAAATATTTCTGAATATGTTTCCATCTCTGAATGCCCTTTTCACCACCTTCCTTTCCCAGTGCTGTATTTCCTTTCTGATGGCTGAGGAAAGTCTGCTGAGAGCTCTTTCCTTTTCCTGTGAATTCTTTTCCTCTGAAACTAAACTGGAAACACACACTGAATGGTCCTGATTGCTAATCGAGATAGCACTTTGATATCACAATCCTTTCCAAAAACAAAACAAGGCAGTGTGGATGCAGATGGTATTTTCTAAAATATATTATGTCATTGTGAGATGATGTAATTTAGTTTAATGAAAAGTTATTCATATGTTGACTGTATTTAATGAGCCTAAACTAAATTTAAGCCATACAATTACAATGATACTTACATTTTTTAAAAAAATTTTAACCATTTACAATAAAAATGATATATACATGCAAACCCTTGGTTTGGAGGGTGTTAAGGAAAGAATGTCATTTCTCTGACTCAAGCCATGATGTTCAATGTGTGTCCTAGGACCCCTGTGACTATTATAGAGATTTCAAGTATGAAGACTTTTTTTTCCCCCATGCACTTCTATCTCAAATTAAATCCTTTTAATTGTACATAATCAAGTATTTGAAAGTTATTTTGTGTATACTTAATTTAGAATATTCCTTCTATGTTGTAGCCAACAATCTCTTTTGGACTTCTATTTTGTTTTTAAGGAATAAGTCAACAGCCTGATCCTGGCTTTACTGGGGCTACAACACCCCAGAGTCCTCTAATGTCCCCCCGGATGGCGCATACCCAGAGCCCCATGATGCAGCAATCTCAAGCCAACCCAGCCTACCAGCCCCCTTCAGACATGAATGGATGGGCTCAGGGGAGCATGGGTGGAAACAGGTAATATCACATTGCTGAGTCAGATATAAATGATCCCTTCAGGAAACTTGGTACAGGACATAGCCACCCCTTTCATCCATGTTTTTAAAAATGTATTTGCTAGAGCAAGCAAATTGCTAAGTAATCCAGTTTACTCTTTAGCAAAAATCAACAGAATTTTGCAAATGCCTAGCACAACATCTCATTTTGGAGTTGAAAGCAATGCCTGGAAGCAGTTTCCACTCCTAAGTGTAGAACTCCTGTGGAATGCAGTGACCCAGAGCCAGCTTTATGTGTGTGTGTGATATGAGCAAACAGAAAGCACCCAGCGGCTGGGAAAGTGGGAAGGTGTATGTCCTCTTGATAACATGTGCAAGGGAGAAAGCTTGATGATTCTGTTCCAGCATCACAGGCTGCCCCACCTGCATTCATACAGTTTAGAGTCACTCATTCTAGAACAAGTGTTCCAGACTGCTTGCCTCGGTTTACCATCAGCTCTAACACCTTTTCATTGTGTTCCAGCATGTTTTCACAACAGTCACCACCACACTTTGGGCAACAAGCAAACACCAGCATGTACAATAACAACATGAACATCAATGTGTCCATGGCAACCAACACAGGTGGCTTGAACAACATGAACCAGATGACAGGACAGATCAGCATGACCTCAGTGACCTCCGTGCCTACGTCTGGGCTGTCCTCCATGGGTCCTGAGCAGGTAAGTGCTGCAGAGAAGCAGCTCAGAATTTTCTAGTCTTGGCTTTTTGTCTGTTTGTGCCCTTCAGTCCCCTGTCTTTTTTGCTTTTTCGAGACAGGGTTTTTCTATGGCTTTGGAGGCTGCCCTGGCTTTTTTTTTTTTTTTTTTTTTGGTTTTTGTTTTGTTTTGTTTTTGCCCATATCTATTTTGAAAAGTGTTTTTTCACCTTATTTTCACCTGTGCCAGTGAGATTTAACAAAAATAATTTTTAATGGTAAAACATTAGGAAGGATTCCTGACTGCTAAAGGGTTGGGTTTTTTTTTCTTCTTCTTAATTTACACATCGTTAACATTTTTTATGATTTGGGAATTTATAAAT